ATCTGGTGACATACGGGACACGGAATTTAGTTTTGGCGGGCGAAACGAACCTTGTCTCTCGATCGGAGAAGCGTGGAGTTCCGTTGGTATTTTGCCTTTTCAATTTAGATCGTGCCTCTCTTAGACACAATGAGCAACACAAAGAACAAAGATAGAAGGCAAACAACACCATCATTCAAGTATGGTGAAAGAGGTAAGTGAAATTGATTTTTATTTATACAAAGTTCAAAGTTTATTTCAAACGTGAAGGTGCTTTTGATTCGTGGTCAGAATAAGCCCCAAAGTTTGTTGCATTTCAATGGCTATAAATATCAACTTATAGAGTGATCTGTTTCCATAAACTATGTAAACGTTTACTTAATTTGAGTTTGCAGACTCCCTTGTGCTAATGCACTAGAAGAGAAACCTAATCAAAATAGAAAGAGAGGGCAACAGAATTATACCATAATTGATTTGAAAACGCGCCGTACCTGCATCATGCTCTCTTTCTTAATTGTTCTAAAATTCAAGATCACTGTAATTCGATTTTTAACCCTGGCATACAAGAATTGTTTGTTTTTCTATTAATTTAAGTAAAAATCAAAGATGAGGGAGGATGCTTGGTGATGTTGATTTCAAGCTTTCTCAATCTCTATACTGTACTTTGCCAAGTTGGTGATGATGTCCCAAGATGCATTCATACATTCACTCAGTCAGGGTTGTCCCATAAAATCTCAATTCTAATCTACATTAGAAGTGCATCTTTTTGTGTCTGATGCAAGAAGAGTCTTTATTAAGTCAATACTGAGTGCTTGCGATAAAAAATTTTTCTTGTGTATATGTAACTTTGTTCCTAAAACAGATTTTGCTATGGTTGCAAAACTTGGACAAGTAAAGAGCACAAAGAATTCAGAGCTAAGACAACTGTGAGAACTGAAGTCAATTCAATGATCCATTCCAGGATTTTTTGTAGGTAAGAATTCTGCAGCTGCCTTTGCATGACTGGGATTGTGGTAAGATAGCACATTTTGTATGGTAGAGCTTCCCGAAAGCACAGGCAGCCCAAGCTCACTACTAGAAAAGCGGACGTGACTCTTACCTTGTTGCGCAACATTTGATATTTATGAAGGTTTATATGGGATGTTATCGGTTTGCCTTAAAAGAGAGAAAAAAATGCCTTGTTTTGACATAAAATGGGCTTACCTTATTGCCTTGTTGTTTTCTTTGTTTTGAACACCAACATAACGCTAACTCGCCAAAAACGCTTCAAAATGGCCTGAGACGCTCGGAATCAACAAAGAAAACAATAAGGTAAGTCCATTTTATTTCAAAACAAGGCATTTTTTTCTCTCTTTTAAGGCAAACCGATAACATCCCATATAAACCTTCATAAATATCAAATGTTGCGCAACAAGGTAAGAGTCACGTCCGCTTTTCTAGTAGTGAGCTTGGGCTGCCTGTGCTTTCGGGAAGCTCTACCATACAAAATGTGCTATCTTACCACAATCCCAGTCATGCAAAGGCAGCTGCATAAAATTAATCTTACCTACAAAAAATCCTGGAATGGATCTAGCAAATTAAACTTTCTAACAAGTAAATTATCTACTGGTGGATGAAATATCAGTTATTGATCATTTCTGTTGTTTTTTATTTCAGAGTACAGGAAAACATTAAAACCTAGGGAAACCACAAAGAGGAAGCCACTGCAGCTATCTAAATGCAAGGACAAACTTTGCTTTTTAAAATTTAATTTTACTTTAATTCTGTTTTTTATTGTTTATGAAAAATTTGTATCCTATCATTTCTGTGTAAACTGAAAGTACTTGTTGTCACTTCCTTTGGATACAGATTGAAGACTGAAGTAGATTAATGGCATTAAATTGTTTGAAACTTTGTCTTTCCTGAGTGACAATTTTTTTTAATTTCCTGTAATGCATGTAATCTAGTCTAGAAAGAGGTTGTTGCATAAACATATGAAGTATTGATCATTAAATCATTTGCTGTGGAAAAATTGCTACAACTTAACACACAAAAGTGATAATCCTAGGCTGAGGATTGGGATATGCTTTTTTGATCTTGACCTACTTTCAATCTATTTTATGGCCACCTTATTCTGGATCCATACACTGGAAGTGCTTTTTTAAACCCTTTTACCCTGCATGACGTATACATTAGGACCTATTTAAATGTATTTATATCCTGTTCTAGATTTTTTCCCTATTTTGTCCCTGTTTTATGTCTATTTCATCCTTATTTTGTCTATTTTATCCCTGTTTTATGTCTATTTTATTGGTATTTGATTCCTATTTTTCAAGTTTTTTCCTCTTTTATTCCTATTTTATGTCTATTTTAAATGTACTTGCATCCTATTTTTGTTTTTTTTTTCTATTTTATCCCTGTTTTATGTCTATTTATTTTATAACTAATATTTCATTAATGCTATTTTAATACTATTTTATCAATGAATTGCATGCGCATTTTCTTTATTTGAAAGCTGTTTTTACAGTAGTTATGACTTGCCAACCAGATTATTTTTTACTATTTTTTGTTTCAAAATAATAGCTTTAAAAAAACAGCTTTCAAATAGTCTGGAAAATAGAGAAAAAATACACAAAAAGTGGGGAGAAAATAGTTTAAAAAATAGATATAAAATAGGCACTTTTTTCGTAAGGGACTCCAGTTTGTTGACCTCATCGACAAACGATCGAAATTCGAAAAGCAAGATAGTCGCTGCTCATCGTCGTTTTCCGACCGACATTCCAATTAATTAAACTTAACTCCCATGAGCCTTTTCGAAATTTTAGACATGAAGGGAAGAAAGAAAGTGAGATATCAATCAAAGAGCACGTGGTGTGACGCCTGTGAAATAACATTTTAACAAAGTGCCGAAGAAGACTGAAGTATGGTGATAACAAATGGATTTTGTTGTGAACTATGTTGAATCAAAGTCATGCATTTGGTTTTGTTTTGATTTAAATCTAGGAAAGTGGCTCTTAAGGGTTGGAAAAATTGCAAAAAAAGAAGCCATTCATTTTTTAACCAAAGTTAAACATCTATCATTGCAAAACGAATTACTGTTAATTTTTTACATAGGTAAACTTCCACTATTTTAATTAAGCTAATATTGGAGAGAGGGAAGTTTTCTCTCATCAATATCTTGCAATAGTTCCATTATTTACT